AGTAGGTCATTTTTATTTTAGTTTAGAAATATTTTCTTTCACTCAGTCCACGTCCATGCGTGGGAATTCTATTTAGCTTCATGGTCCTTCGGCTTGTCTTCTGCTTGGGGGGAAACAACAATAATTATACAAATCGTAAACTCAACACAATCATGAAAAGAAACCCAGACAACCATGTTGTACTTCTGTTGAATACATTTTGTAGCAGTGCGTCACGTCGGAATGTTGTCTAAAATAAAATATTCAATCCCAGCCAAATCTAGGTCAAAGGGTCAGATTGCGTGCATATAATTATAGATAGTTAAAACAAAAAGTATTTGAACTTTTGACGGTTGTTCAACATCTATGCACGGTTACTAAACTAGTAACCGTGATCTACGAAAACCAGAACATTTTTAGTAGTCCGAATTTTTGCACGGTCGAAAATAAAACGGAAATTGACCGGTCAAAAGCGGAAGCGGTCAAGAGGTTTGGGGGAAATGAGTTCTTTGTTTGATGAAGCGATGCTGATGCCACATTGTCGCCATAATGAGCCACAATGAAGCGAAGCGTAATCGCCTAACTTTTTAATGTCGCGACATTGAAGCGATGCTAAAGCCATAACAATGTCATAATGATGCGATGCTGAAGCGAAGCTGACGCTGAAGTGAAGCCAAAGCTTCCGCGAGAACTGTACTGTACGCTGTACCATATATTATATTGTTAGATAATTCATACTGCATATATTTGTATTGATATTAGTGTTCAGTTGCGGAGAGTAAACTGGCTTCGACAGAGATCCGGTTATCAAATGCTCTCAAAGTGAAAGGGCAAGGTAAGAGAATTCTCAAAGAATGCTCAAGTGCATCATGGGAGATGTAATTTGAATGGGGGGGGCGCTGTTCATAATCTACTATGTAATAATAATGATGTATATATCTTTACTGGACATGTTAATTATATGTGCTAGTGTCTTCTGCCTTGAAAGGATATTTTAACTGTAATGTTTCAATGTGACAATATACTTTGCAATAACACAACTAGAGATACTGACATTTAAAAATAAATAATAGAGATATAATGTAACTTGTGTACCATATTTTCTCTATTAGAAGTACAATGTATATGTGCTAACATAATTGGCCAAACTAAGTCATATTTCGATATACAATAAATGAAGTTTTTAGTTTATGTGGATTTCTATTGGGGATGTGTTTGTAATAGAGCAAATACGGTATTTAGTTTTGTGTGTTCAAGGTGCTTGTATTGAGTGTGAAAGGTCTATATCAATGCCACGTTGTCACTCCACTTCCATTATTTTTCTCCTCCACAGATGTTTCCATGGAGCCAACATCCACTACGGATGAAGAAGTGAAAGAATTGAAGTCACAGATAAATAAATATCAACAAGATATCAAAGGTAAACATCAGATTGAAGTTCATAGAGGCATTGAAGGCAGTTAACCTTGAACCCCTGAATCTTAGAATCCCTAGAGGGTGTAATATGTGTGTAATGTTTAATTCTCTAGGTCTACGTGAACAATTGAATAAAGCTAAACAACATGTGGAGCAATACAAGTCAATCAGTGATGCTGTGGATGAGAGTCTCAGAGAACAGAATGCTGCCAGTAAAATATTTAAAGAGACAACTGAGGCCAAACTTAAAGAAACCACTGAAAGTAAGTCAGTAGATATATATCTCTACTGGATGTCTGAACAATGAGGGCAACACTATAAACCTATTGACTGGAGATGAGGGAAACAGTATGTACCTGTTGATTGGAAATAGGTCAATAGTGTGTGCCTGTTGACTGGCAATGAGTGCAACAGTATATACCAGTTGACTGGAAATCAGGTCAACAATGTATACCTACTGACTGGCGCTGAGGGCAACAGTATATACCTGTTGATTGGTGCTGAGGGCAACAGTACATACCTGTTGACTATAAATCATATATAACTTTAAACTAGAAATCAGGTCAACAGTGTGTGCTTATTGACTGACAATGAGGATGACAGTGTATGCCTATTGACTGGCAGTGGGGGAAATGATGTGTAACTATGACTGGCATTGAGCGAAAAAGTGCACAAATTATCTGGCAATGAAGGCATCAGTAAACACCTATTTACTGGCAATTAGAGCAATAGTAAACAATTAGCTCTGTTAAAAGTTGTTCTAGGAGATTTTGAAAATGAAGCTGCTTACCAAACACTTAGACATCAATAACATATACCGCACTATTGAGTGTGTTTGTTTTACTGAGACTTTGTTGATTTTATCTCTGCATGTCTATATACCGATATAAATATATATATCTATTTACAGTGAAAGCTGGCCTAGAAAAACAGTTATTGGAATTGGAGAATGAGAAACAGCAAATAATGCTTGAGAAGAAACAGTTACAGCAGGCTGTAGATTCCCAGGTATTGATGAGTATTTGGTATATTTTCAAATGGATCTCGTTGGAGGAGGGGATGAATGCATAATTTATCCGTAAAATCTGTATTAGAAGTCACATCCATTCGTTTTGAACAATTGAGAACCAAGAAATCACAATTTCTCATATTTTTTTTCAAAAAATGTCTTAAAATATTACGTCCTTTTGGTCCAGAATTGACCAAGTAAATTATGGAAAATAAAATAATATTAAATGTTCCACCAGAAATTTTTTGAAAAAAATTATGTTGTGCATAATGTTATACGAGTTATTCTGAGTGATGGCAACAATGACATACAATCTACGTATTGTTTTAAATTTTATCTGTCAGACATCTGAGTTGAGAAGTAACCTTACAAAGATGCAAGACGAGCTGAAAGATGCTTTACAGAAATGTACAGATGCCCAGGCTAATGAACAAGCTGCTAGAAGTGACTGCAAAAAACAATCCGAGTTGGCAGCTGAAGTAAGTTTGGTTTTTACAGTTTGTCCTGCCAGGAGTGTGTTGTTTTAAAGCCAGTGTGCCTGTTTTCTCTTTGTGAACACCTTCAAATAGACTATATTTTGCGTTCATTGCAAAATCCCTGTTACTTTTAACCAGTTCCCTGATTTTATCACAAATTGAAAAAATAATTCTGTATAGTCTGCACTTTCCCTTCAGAAGATTCAAGCAAAAAAAACCAGATTTTTTCGAGTAAAAACTCACTCAAATTTTGACAGTTCATTTCCAGATAAAATATTTAAGAATATTACAAAAAAAGTTAAGAAAAATTTAGGCAAGAAAGACTGGTGGAAAGAACAAGTTAAAATAAGACAAAGGTCAT